CCATAGTTCATAGCAGAATATTCAATTGTTCATGGTCAGCGTGAAGTAAAAGAGGAAGATCTACTCCTTTGACAAATCCTGATAAATATGAAGAATAATAGAAATATAAAAGTAACTATTCTTAATGGCTAAAAAGATGTGAGCAACAAAATCACAAAAAGTGTGGTATTTTGAAGAATAATAAATATACAGATTTTTGTAGGTTCAAGAACCATAGCTACAAATTTAACACAGACAAAATGTAAAGGAATTAGAGACATAAAAGGCACCATTCAAAAGCAAAGGCACCTGGTGAAATTTCAGAATAAAAGACATACATTATAATAAGGATTGTGTCATAGAACCATGTAGTATTATGGTTATTGCAGATTTCAGAAGAAATGAGGCCAAAAGTATATTGGACCCTATGCTTGGGAATGCCTTGCCCTTATAGTGCCCTCCATATTAAGTTCCCACAACTGGTAAAAAATCATTTTACAGACATTCAAGGCAAAGGGTCCTTGGTGCTCTCAGAGCTTGCAATTAGGATGATATTTTCTCTGTCTTTAGGGCTGTGTTAGAATGCAGAACTGCAGATTACTTCTGCTGACTGCCAGCTGCCAGAAGTTCGGTTCTCACCAGCTCAAGGCTGACTCAGCCTTCCAGGGACAGTAAAATGAGGACCCAGATTGTTAGGGGCAATATACTGATTCTGTAAACTGCTTAGGAAGGGCTGTAAAGTATTGTGAAGCAGTATATAAGTCTAAATGCTATTGCTATTTCTACTTATATTATAGAAATATGAACATGGAACTTTATAGAGCAGCAGGTAATGCTTAATCTTAGATACTCAAAACAAATATTCTACTTCAGATTAGAATACAGTGACTACTTTTTCTTAGAAAAAAATAAATCTGAAAAGAGGGCCAATTTGAAGGAGGTTCATAAAGAAAAAAAATGGTTATGTTTATAACTTTGCTTTACAAAGTCAAATTCAACACTAAAAACCAAGAGAACTTTACAAAAGCACATATTTTCATAAAATACCTAAAATCAAACAGTATACGTAAACTTATTTTAGAAAGAACATTCAGTTTCATATAAATGAAAAAGACAGGGTGTCAAGGGATCCCATTTGTTTTGTAAAAATTAAATGACTGAAATAAACGACAAAAGTTAGTTTTCGAAAAATAACTAAATATAAAGGAGGGCTTCTGGAAATAAAAGACCATACTTTATAATTAATAGGATCACTGTATCCTAAAAGGAAAATACTCAGCAGATTATGCTGGGACTACTTCAAGAGTGAGGAAAATTTCAGGATAATGTGACTGGACAAAGTAATCAAGATTGTTGTTGGGATAATTTTAAGGAGAGGACATAATTATGCCACCTTGAATTATACAAAGTAAAGGTGAGTAGAAATCAAATAAATAAATAACAATAATCCATTCATTGTGTAATTACCATTAATGCAATATTCAGCTATGTGATATATATAGAGCTCCTGGAAGTCAGGAGGGCTCTGCCTCCAGCTCAAAGAGTTAACATTTAGATTTCTAGTTTTTTTTTTACAAAATGTAAAATATGTATAAATAAGACTTCATTTCCTGGTGCCATGTAAAGAAAGTATTCTTTCAGTATGGTAGCACAATTACCCAACATAATAGGTAATCATTTTAAAGTAATACCCCTGAAGGACTAAGCCTCATTAAAATGGTTTTAGGAAAATGATTGTATCAATTAAAGAAAAACAACCAGAGAACTATTTCTCCAGCATGTTGTTATGGAAACTGAGCCAAATGACTGAATGCAACCACAGCTATAATTATAAAATGACCCAGAATTTCACTCACTGCTGCTGTAAATCCAGTCCCAAATGTTCTCCTGTGTCCGTGCTGAGACAACCGGCGCCTTGCCCATAGCCAATTCCTTTGGGGCCATATTTCCTCCCATAACATGTTTTGCAGTAGATTTCAGATTCATGAGCCGCTACTGTTGTGCTGTCCAGAGCTTTCCGGCAACCCACTGAGAAAGAAAGATGAAAACACACATTATGGTCCTGATCTTCAAACGGAGACACCTGCATTTTACTAATCTGCATTGGAGGTTTGAAAATGAGGACACTACAAGTTTCCCATGTAATCATCAAAGACAATATAAACTAATTGCATCTACTGTTAGAGAAATGAGAAGTATTCATGGGTTCAGAAAAACTAGGATGGAAAATACATGTTTGTTTTCCTCACCATTACAGCCCATAAGAAAGATAACATACACAGGAAGAAGAAAAAACTAGAATTCAAGCTAGAATTCATTGATGGTGACAAGGACAGAAAGCTTTGAGTTCAGAAATTCTTAAGGTCTCTTTTGGGAGAGTTGGTCCTATGTTCTTGAGTGCTCTGTTGCAACTTTAAGCCATGGCTAGCTGCACATAGATTTATAACTAAAGAAGTATTACAGAAATGCTATTAAACCTCTAGTGATACTTTTCTCCAAAGGAAACTAAATCTGGGTGCTCACTGGACCTGGATCTTCTACAAAGCTCAGCCACATTAAGTTTGCCTATTTGAGGAGAACATTTCCTCAACAAAAACACACTTTAAGCAAGTGCGGTATTATAATAAATATTATGCATGGGACAGCTTCTCTTTCATATCCCTTACCAGCCACAAACCATGTCTGCCTATCCAGCTTTGAAGTGGAAATCATGAAGCATGTCGACCTTGTAAAACACCGTTACAAAGTTCCTTAAGATTATGTGAAGTGCTTTGAATACTTATAGATCCTTTGAAGTCTAATGCAAATTAAGCTTTATTTGTATTTTGGCAATGTATATTTACAGGCTACGTCTGGGTCACAATTGTGGGAAGTAATACTTTTCTGAATTCCACCACTACCCCCATGGAACAAAAATGAGATTTATTCTGACTATATTGCAATCATATTGGTAGCTATATGACTGTAACTTAGTTCGCTTACGAAATTAACAAAGGCCATTGCAAATGTTTCATATTTGTCTTAAGGAAAGCAAGGCAGATATTCACAGATGTTACAAATGAATTTTCTCCAGTGCATTAAGATCACAAAATAAAAGTTGATTCAATTGAAGCAAATTGGAATGGATAAAACTGAGCCCTCTAAAGAAATAATGTTCTGTGATTTTGTGAATTTTTTCCCTGACTATTTTACATTCTCATCTGGGAAGAAAAGATAATGATGTTTGCTCTCTGAATTGTTAAGGGATAGCTCCAGCAGCAGATAAAGTGCTTCTATTTTTGGCCTCTTTGGAACAGAGGGTCTGTGCTGCAACAGATGGCCCCAAAGCCTTCTCTGCTGGCTGAGAAGACTCATCTGTCAGAAAGTAGTTTGAAGTTGACAAATTGTGATTGAGCCACACAGCCACCACAGATGCCCTTTAAGTCAAAACTGACTTGGACAAATCAGAGGTGTTAATGACAGCAAGTCACATCATAAGGGGTAGAATCCCCCCCACACACACACACACAGGAGAGGCTGTGTTTTCTGCCAACATTGTTCCACAAAATTAATGACTGAAGGCGATTTATTATTTATATGAATTTCCTACTAATTATACATCAAGCTGTGTGAACACACCATAAAATGATATAACAATTTAAACAACAAATCTAGCTCACAAACATTTGCTACAGGAATTAATGTAAACTTATGATGCAACCAACCAAGCAGCAGCAACCTTGATGCCTTGTATGCAGAAGTATGGTCTATTAAGTTTAATAAGAATTTAACTCTCAGATAATGAGGATGCAGTTGCGGTGTAAAAGTCCCTATAATAAAATCTAATGTTGCACATTAAAAGACATTGTATAAAAGACTTTTCCCCCCCTCGTATCTGGCAAACAGAGAGAAAGGGGGGGCTGCCTCATTCTTAGCCATCAACTCTGAGGAACAGGTATTAAGGAAAGAAATCAGATCTTCAGCCATCCATTGGGTGTGAACAGTAGATAGGCCATTATTTTGAGAAAATCAATTACAGATCAGGGACTTAAGAGACAGGAAGCTTTTCCTAACGTTTTGCCATAAATCAACTCTCATGTACTTTAAAACTTCTATTCCTTTGTTCTAGTCACAAGAATGTCAGTTTCAATTATAGGAAAGGAGAAGTTGTGTTGAATATTAAAGCAAATGTCCACCTTTCGAGAAAGATTGGAAAGAATACAGTACAGATTCTCGTCTCCCCGCCAACCATTAGCCCTTCTTTCGGTTGCTAAATTATTCTTTTATCAAAGTCTGTTTTTTAATTGATTTGATGCAACATATTCAACATCTGGATTCTTCATAGATCCTAGCACAGACTGACTGTAAACTATTCTATCAGTTATGATGTCATATAATTTATGTCGGTAGTGATTATTCGGTCTCCTTATTCTCCTTCAATCTCCAAAAACACTGATTATTTTTTCAACAATCAAAACTTACTATAAACATGGATAGAGACATCTAACTAATTATCAGGGTCATGAATGAAAAAAACATCTATTTTCTAACAGTGTAATATACAATCTTTCTTGTGGCAAGACATTCATTAGTCTTTAAAATGAGGAAGGCCAGGAGAAAAACCATATTAATGCTATTGAAAATCAAGATTAAATAGATATAAGATGTATCCATGCATCTAATAATATTTGTAAGCTGCCTAAAGACACCTCCAGGCAAAATAGTTCGATAAATAAATATTTTTCTTTTGTCATATTAAAATTAGTGTTTGATATACATTTTTGGAGGAGCGCTAGAGGACTCATCATAGATCTTAGATAACTACAATGTAGAGCTTCTAGTTGACTAGAAATAGTGAATTCAAGCTTGTTTCTCTGAAAGTGAATCTTTATGTTATCCAACATGGCACTATTCATAAACAAAACAGAGATGTCAGCAAATAGAAGTAACTGAAAATATGCCGATTTAACTATCACATATAAGTCATACATTTTTTCACCCCAGAAGAGTTGCTATTCAAACCTTCTTGGAAGTCGTAGTAATGGATATTCTACATTAGTAGAAAATTGGACCAGAGTACCTTGAAGGCTCCTTCCTTTGCTGCAATTGGATTCACAAATCATGCTATGTCGTAATATTGCTTATTTTTTAATTTACTTTTTATCAGCTTATTTATTTATTTGTTTGTTTTCAATTTCTGTAGTCATCCATCTCAATCAATGACTCTGAGCCAATCAATTCTGGCTTATTATGTTGTATGGTCCTAAAAATTGTGGTTAATAAAGGAATTTATAACTAATTTTATGGAAGCTCACCTTTTACAGATTATTTAATGAACCATAATATTTCCGATGCCAGTAAAATGAAGACCCAGATTGTTGGGGGGCGATATATTGATTCTGTAAACCGCTTAGACTCAGAGAGTGCTATTAAGCACTATGAAGCGGTATATAAGTCTAAGTGCCATTGCTATTGCTAACCTTATGACATAATGCTCTGTGAGTTAATCCACTTGAGTGATGTTATGGCTCTGTAAAAGATGTTATCTCAAGCACTATGAAATAGGTTTCTCAAAACTTTATAAGAATGAAGGACCGATGTATTATTTAGTAATTATTCATTCATGAATATGACATTTGAATACAATAATTACTTTTAAGCTGCTCTTTTGGTAGGCAGAAATAAAGGATATTAGCTATTATTCCAGGAGTCACAATGAGGAATAACAATCTACAACTGTTTAGTGAAAGAAGAAACATAAACTTACTGCATAGGAAACATGTCTTATGAAAACTCCGTCCATTGCACTGAATTTCCTCAGCATGGTAGACTGTTTTGTCACAGGCACCACATTTGGCTCCACCTCCCCAATTTGGCATCTTTGAATTTTTCAATTGGCTTGAGCTGGCACCTTTAAATCCAGAAATAAATGAAACATAATTAGTAGAAATTAGTCCTCCAGCGTGATATACTAAAACATTTTAACATGATGCTATGCGAATTATCCAGCTGTGTCATAATGGAGCTCTCAGTTGGGACGACTGTATATGGCTGCAAACGTACAGGCAACCACTAGATGACAGAGAAAAGGAATTTACTCTCTTTGCTGCAGTCAAGATATGGCATACTTAGGATAAGTCCCACAAAAATGTAGGCCTTGACTCTGGTTTGGTTGGCAAATTTAAATTACGGGAATTGAGATGCATCATAAATGTAAGAATCTCCTTTTAATCTTTTATGAAGGGTCAAGTCTGAAAAATAAGAAGAGGATGAAAAATAGCTGATAAAAATCCTCAAGGATTGTGAAAGTTACCAAACATGTAAGAGGTTCTGCCCACCATCTGGCAGTAGAGGCCCTCCCTTCCTGGGTGCCACCATCCCGTATAATCTGTCATGATATCCCTTGGAACAATCATTCCAGGGAATTGTGGAAGTGGAAAATTGTGGCACACAGAGGAACTAGAGATTGGAAAATCTTTATTAGTGTTTAATAGTAGGGGGGAAAGCCAGATAAGACAATAATCAAGAACAGAACACTGTTACTACCTTGATCTTATAGCCACTGTGAAAACTTGTGCATTGAGTTAGTGGCAGTGATGCTGTGATGCCGTGAGTTTGACCTCCCTGCATTACAGATTTTCCAAATGGCGCAAAAAGGAGCTGAAAAAATAACTCTAGCTATTACTAAATTTGGGGAGCTAACAGCATACCCAAACATCAACAGTATCAATTCTAGTTAAGGTACTATGGTTACACTCTGATTCCAGATTTAAAATTTTTGTGTTCCATCCTGTCTGGGACAAATACAAATAAACTCAAGTGGTATTTGAATTGTCATCCATGTTGCATTCCAAATGTTCCATGATTCAATGGAAGAAAAGGGGGATCCAATGCTCTTTGCCTCTGCCTTTCTAAGTTAGGTGAGTGATATTGTCAGTAAATCCACACAGAAAAACATTTTTATGGGACAATAACGATGTTGGCCAGTAGGCTACAGCAAGCAAATATAACAGTGACCTTTTCCTTGCCCTTTATTTCAGATATGTCACAGAAAAGACCTGCATTGCTCATACTCTTTTCTTGATGTCTTGGTGAGTCATATTTTCTAGCCTTAGTCTGTTACATTATGACCAGTTGAGAACTTCTGGCTCAGTCCATCTTTTAACCCTCTTGGCAAGCAAATCACTTTCTTATTATAGTTTTTTCCCTAAGAGATAGCTTATCTAACTGACACTGGACCAAAACACTATTAAGGTTTTTTTAACCAAGTCAGAAATAGCATTGAGATTCACTGAGCATTTTGCTCCTAAAAAATTGGCCATCTTGATGTCACAGAAAAAGGGAACTAGAGAGAAAAGTATTATGCCTAAGAATAATACAAAAATGAGTTACATTACCAGTTTCCCAATTTAAAATATAAGATGAAATATTGGAATTATACTATATTGAGGCAGAGTTAAACACAAGTAATAGAAATAATCATATACTATCTTCCTGTATTCTCCCTGTGTTAAATTTTGGCTCAGGGGTTGTTCTCTTGAATTCAGTCAAATATATCTATACCTTAGTTTGATTTGTATAGTGGCATAATCAACATTACTTATGGCTGGGAATACTTGGCAAACTATTTTTTCCAACTACCTGCAGAATATATGATAATGGTCAGTTCAATCAGTCCATTACACCATGGGTCAATAAAATAACAAGTAAATCTCCTCTTTCTTTCTCTCTCTCTCTCTCTCCCTCTCCTCCCCCCCCCCCTTCACTTCTGGGTTGTACCTTCTCTAATCTGCCAAGAATGTAAAAGAAACTTTGGGCTATAGAAAACTCTTGTTATTCCAAGGGTACATCTGTATAAAAAAATTGCCTCCAACTTATAAGCCTGAAGTTGGTGGAAGGAATGTAGTCCCTTACCATATAGGCCGAACACAAGTCAACCAAAGGGAAATACATGCAAGAACCTAAAGAATCATGGAAGCAACCCTGCATGTTAAATATCATCTACATACATGAAAAATTTCTCCCCCAAATTAAGACGATACCTGTTGATTAAAATTCTTTCTGGTACAGAGAAAATAAGAGCTTGTTGTATGTAGTACAAATGAATTGAAAAATTCCTTTCTCTCAATCTGTCCTGCAAAAAACATTTGATTTTCTTCAACAAACTTACAGAGAGATCTCTAACCTTGAAACTGGAGTATCTTTATGGTTTGTCTAAAAACTGCATTGAAGAATCCAATATAATTTAAGGCATGTAGCTTCAATTTTTCTTCCTCAGAAAATGATTACAAATAGAATTCAGTGTTTCACAACACAGTGGCACTTTTTAAAAGATACACATCACAGGAAAACTGTTCTCCCAGAGTGGCACTAGCTCCAAGATTTTGAGATCTTTCCTTTTATCTTATTTCAGAAATGCAGAAAAACTACCTGAAGTTTGCATTCAGCTTTCCAGCATCTCTTTCCAGTCATTCACTTTGTTAAACATTACCAGTTCCTGCAACCATTCATTTGTTTCAGTGGCCAGTCTTCCTTCCTTCTCCTCCTATTTTCCCCACAACAGCCCTGAGAGTTAAGTTGAACAGCAAGAGAGGGATCAACCCCAAACTCTGCAGCCAGCTCTCATATCTAAGGCAAGACAAGAACTCATACTTTCTTGGTTTCCAGCTGGGTGGTTTAAACACTAGACCAAACTGGGTTGAGTTCTTTGGTTTCTACTGATTGTGAAAATATACCGTATTCATTAAAAGAATCCTAGATTGTAATATTACATGAACTTACTAGCAAGACAGCTCCATTACACTAGGTTTTTTTTTTTTTTTTGGGGGGGGGGGGGAAGGAGGGATGTGAATTCCAAAATTCCAGATTTTCCAAAAACAAACAAACCTGCAACAGTAATAAAGAAATTCTAACAATCCATTTCTCTCCATGGGAAAGAACCACCCTCACTAAACAATAGCAGACCGTACCCCTTAATGTTTCTTATCAGGACTTACAAGAAGGAAACGTACGTATCTTCTTGTCGTCTTGATCTTTTTGAAGAGACCAAGCCAAGATCCAGCTGACTTTAAATATTTTCCAGGAGAGGCGGGCTGTGTAAGTTGGGGCAGGGGTATGTGAGCAATGTTACTGCTATCAGGTAGCTTAAAATAACTTGTGACAAAGCCTTGGATTGAACATCAGTTATGACCAAGTAACAGAACAATGTGGGCCCCTCATATTACAGTCAATGCTTCCAACTGCAGTTGTCTAGGCAAAAAGAAATCAAATGAATCAATAAGACCCCAAGCCTGAGCTGATTGTCAATTAAAGCTGAATCCTTAAAAATAAAGTGAAATTCAGTTAGACAGACCACTCAGCTTTAGAAAATATTGGTTGCGCAGAAACTGTAACTATGGTATATTATTATTATATGAAGATCTTGTAAAAATTTGTTATCCTCCCAAACTGAATAGAAAAAAAAAACCTGTTATCACCTTGATCATTTTTTTTATATCCAGAGATGATACTCATCATACCACATGTTGCCGCCGCTTCTCCGCTAAATCAAAGGTTGCAAGAGAGGGTTGTTGTTGTTTTTCTTTTGCTGCTTCTTAGAGACCAAGTTAAGAAAAAAGAACCCAGCATAAATGTTTATTACAATTGACAGATTAAAACAGGTTAGGCAACCTAATACCCTTTAATTCCATCAGCTCCGGCCAGCATGACAAATAGTACGAGGCAAGTACGAAACATCTGCAGGCCATCATCTTGCCTCATAAATTAAGGCTAAACTAAATGTAGCAGTTTATTGAATGATTAGTCATGCAACCTTGTCAATAAAATGAAATATAGTACATAGTCCAATTCCAAAATAAAATGGATCAGTGATCTATTAAGAAGCATCTGCAGGGATATTTGAATAATTAGGAATAATCATTAAGTCCCCTTAGTTCATATTTACTCACGCTGACTACCATGCTAGGAACAATGAAAGAAGACAGCTATTGTTAAGTGCAGGAAATCTGGAGCCCAGACAGTTCAAATGAATATCTAGGTTTATTGCACGCTAAAGCTCTCTACAAGAATCGGAAGTATTAACATTTAAAGCAAATTGGCGGTAAATAAGTCATGGAATTCAAGGTGGGCTGGACATGGATCTCTTGTGGGTGTGAAGTAACTTGAGACCGATGACACAGTTGATCCCTCCCACAGGCTCAGACTGGTCATCTCCTACTGATATTCATGGAGAATGACACTGGCCTCTGATTGTGTTGGTTGTATATTCACGCTAGCAATGATCTGACTATCAACTGCTAGAGAATCTAAATGAGAGGTTTAATGTCTTTTTGTGATCTCCCTGGAAACAGAATACTGCATCTGATAAGCTTATTAAGGATTATGCATCTATTCTTGTTCTTCTAAATGTATATTTAAAGGTAATTTTAGCCCAATAATCCCATATATGTCCACTCCAAAATAAACCCATTGAGTTCCTGAACCCAAGTAATTTCAGCAAAGAATAGAAATCATAGAACTATATAACAATTAAGTTATAATTTAAGGAATTCAAGATATGTCTAATATATATATATATATTAATTCTCTATTTTTTTATTTATCTAGGAATATATGAGTACATGACAATTTTTCATATATTTTCCAAACTTGGATGGCGTATTTATTTGCATCAGATATAACATTTTCAGCTGGCAAAATGCACTATGCAAGTGATCAATGTATTATAGCAAGAATAACCAGAATGCTATTACATACATCTTTTTGTAAAGTAAAACAGAAAGTACCTAAATAATGTCATCTACACTATAGTCCTAAGTGGACATACAGATTGACTTTACAAAATGATAGAAAGTGGCAGATGCAGTTACAGGTAATCCTTGATTTATGACAACAAATGAAGTGAAACACACTTTAAGTGAATTTTGCCCCATTTATGATCTTTCTTGCCACAGTTGTGAATGACTGCAGTAACACAGTTAAGTGAATCTGGCTTCCCCATTGACTTTGCTTGTCAGAAGGTCACAGAAGGTGATCACACGACTCTGAGATCCTGCAACCTTTATGAGTCAGTGCTAAGCATTTGAATTTTGATCACATGACCATGGGAATGCTGCCAAAGGTCCTAAGTGTGAAAAATGGTCATAAGTCACATTTTCAGTGCCGTTGTAACTTTGAACAGACACTAAATGAACTGTTATAAGTCAAGGACTACCTGTATTTGAGTTAATCAGACCACCCATATCATACAAATGATTGAAAGAAGCGTATCAAAAATGACTTCATCAGTCCCCAAAATGACTTCATCAGTCCCAAGATCATATATCTTCATAAAAGAACTCAACCAAATTAGATAACTAATAATGTTACTTGCATGATAGGCAGCAGGAAATAAATCAGAGCTGATGTACATATTGCAAAAGTCATACAATACAAACAGGGGAAAAATAGCAGGTGCATTTTTGTTTAGGAGCCAGAATCAGAATAGCAACTTTCAAGGAAATACTTTTTGATCTGTAGCTGATTTTACATTAATATGACAACAAACAGCAATTACTGTATTTTCTTTCTATTCACAATAAGGACAATTTGTAGGAGTTAAAGAAGCAATATATTTCATGAAATAAAATAGAGAAATAACTCATAAAGCTATTGCATACTGACATCCAACTACTTAAAACTTGTGAAAGAAGCCTCACAGAATAATTAACCAATTATCCATAGAACTGTCTCAAACCAACTCTGACTACCCAAACCCTAGAGATTTCAGGCTGAACTTACAATATTTGTATCTAGAAACAAAATTTGGGGAGGTATTACAAAATTACAACAAACAAGACAGAAGATACTGATTATGAAATCATCTGAAAATTTATCACTAAAACTTTACAAAAAATCAAGTTCAATTATTAATTTAAAGGAAATAGATTAAATAAACATTAAATTATATTTTGCAATTAATTTACACTGACATGATAAAATATCAAACTTGGACTTTTTAAAAATAGTCGAGGCTTGGTACTTGGAATGTTCTCTTTAAGTATTACTATTTACAAAAAATAGCTTTATATTTCATAAAGTTATTATCAGATAGCCAATGAAATTTTAAGTGACACATTTAAAAACGATGTATATTCCTCATTCAAAAAAAGATTAGTTTAATAAACTATTGTAGATAAAAGTAAAACAAAATCCAACACAGGGGGAAAAAAATCACTATGCCTAAAAATAATTTCAAAGAACCATTTTTATGTGACAGAAACAAAGTATTGCAATTATATTTAATTGAAGGTCGGGATGCAGTATTTTCTTTGAGAAAATGTATATTTTGTTGATCCATCAAGTATTCTTCAGCATTAGCAATGTTTCTGGGAAAATTCCTTCTGATCCATAAGAGCAGGGGTCCCAAACTTGGCAACTTTAAGATTTTTGGACTTCCAACTCCCAGAATTCTAGGAATTGAAGTCCACAAGTTTTAAAGTTGCCAAGTTTGGAAACCTCTGCATAAGAGGATCAATGAGAGCCAGGATCTAGGCTTGGATCACTCGACGTTTCATTGCCTTTCTTAGAATTTTTGAATGTCACAGGAACACTGGTCTAGATGAAAGGGGGAAAAAAATCTGTGTTATTTGCAAGCTAACCAGCTCAAGAAACTTTATCACGAAATAGACAAGAGGCATATTTAATTTATTATTGTTTTAGTATACAGATCATCCTATATGGGACTTGATGGGCACACAATTAATCAGCATGCTGCTATATATTTTCTTTTCACCACAGGGAGATGTAGGATTTTTAAACAGTTGCTTGGATCCATATGTATGCTAATATTTAGCCCAAATGACATGTTATGGATAGATAACAACCAATCTTGGAAGGAGTTACCACTGAAGAACCAATGTCGCAGCTAGCAGTTCTGCTAGATATCAAGTTGTCTAAGGCTGGAGTCCCCAAGTTCAATTACAGGGCGGTGGCCCATTCAGAACTAGGCCACAAGAAGTGGCAGGTGAGTGTGCGTCATGCAGCTCCACTTGCACGTGGATGAGTATGCCCGTAGCGCTATTTGTGTAAGTGGCGGATGCATCTGCCCACTGTCACATGGAATCACCCTTTCTTGCCTTCCCCCTGCCGATCCGCAAAGCTGAAAGGGTTGGAGACTGTTGATCTAAGGTGGTCTAAGTATTATCTGTGTCTAATAATCTTTGCCTCTTTGTGGAAAGCTTAGAATTATGCTCTGTTAGTCATGCACTGATGCCATGCAGATTAGATATGGCAAAGGATTTTAGGCAGAGCTGCTTTTAAGGACAGCTGATACATTTCAATTGGATCAGAATGCAGCCAGTTGGATGCCTGTTCTGGCCAAGTATTAGTAGTACAAAGATATTTTATCAACTGCACTAGGCTGCAATTTCCAGGATCAATGCTAGCTCACCGAAAGGAGAAAACCTCAGGTGAACTCCAGAATTAGAAAGTTTTGTGGAAGTCTCTCCTACATTGGTCAAGCAACTTTTTGTTACTGCAGTGGAATAAATCCCCTTCAGAATAGTCTTGTACACACTACAATTCACTAAAAGGGAAAGCATTAAAAAGAATATGTGCATTTTTTCTTAGGAGCCTCACTGGAATACATTCATACATTTAGCCTCATTATTAATTTATATTGTTCCTAATGTCCCCTTCAACTAATATCAGAATTTGTATAAGCCAATTTAATTCTAAAAACCAGAATATGCCAGACAGGACTTTAAATTTGTAAACAAACAAACAAACAAACACCACAAACCAAGTAATTGGTTGGTTCACTTACTTCTCCAAAAGTCTCCAATAAAAATGACTATAAATTAATAAGAGAACAGTGGTTTAATTTCTCTTGAAGCTAGTAAAATATTTTCAAATTTGGTAACAACGTAAGGAATAATTTATGTTTTTTCAAATTCCATCATAAAATCAAATGAAACTGAATATGAACTTATGGGCTTACACCAGAGGTGGTATTCAGCAGGTTCTGACCAATTCTGGAGAACCGGTAGCAGAAATTTTGAGTAGTTTGGAGAACCGGCAAATATCACCTCTGACTGGTCCTGCCCCCATCTATTCTCTGCCTCCCGAGTCCCAGCTGATTGGCTGGGTCTTCTTTAGTTGCCCTGCACAGGAGAATGGAGCTGGAAAGCAGGTTAGTGTGGTGGGGACGGAATGGGATTTTGCAGTATCCTTCCCCTGCCATGCTCATAAGCCACGCCCATGAAGCCATGTCCACAGAACCAGTAGTAAAAAAAATTGAATCCCACCACTGGCTTACATATAAGTATAGATAGAATATTCAGGCACTTTTAAAAAGTATTACTATAATGTATAGTATATACCTGCTATCAATCGATATACAATGAGAAATATTTATCTAGAGTTCAGATTGCAGTATGTTAAGCTGCTTTTTATTAGAGGCTTAAGCAATGCAAGTATTGTGCAGGCTTCCGATTTAAAAAATACATTTTCATTTTTTCCAACAATTCTCTTGTTTCTTTTTGCAATAATCATATGTGTTTTGTATACCTTTTAATCAGATAATTTTGCTGAGGCAAGTATTTCAATTCTAAGAGCCAAAACAGATGAGCTTGGATGCACTTCCCCATTTTCCAAGGGGAAAAAAATGAAATTAACTGCACCCACAAAAAAAAAGCAAGAGGTAGCCAACAGCAGTTTCCAAAACAATTTTGCAACCCTGGAAAAATATAGCTTTTAATTATTTTAAAGAAAAATGCTTTGTATGCACTTCTGTGCCTCTTTGAAAAAATCTGCAGAGTCCCAATTACTTAATATTTTTTTGAAAAGAACCTTCTTACCTCCTGAGGAGTGGTTGGAATCAATTCTCCATGTAAATCTCGATAATCCCTTAGTAATACGGTTGCTTGCTGCAATCCGACACTTACTGGAACAGGACTAACATGTTCTGCTCCTTGACAAATGAAAGCAGATCGATGTACGTGATCTGCAGACATCTGTACATTGGCTGGCATCATTCCTAACTGTTGTAGAATAATGTTCAGAACTAAGGTGCTCTGAGGTGGGGTAGGGTTAATATGGGCTGACTCAACAGCACCATTCCCTGAGGATGTGGTTGCTACAGAAGGTGGTGGTGGTATTAGGTTAAGAGGTGTTATATGAAAAGTAGGGAAATCAGATGTCACTGGAATTGGACCTATAGCAAAGAAGAAAGAGAACACACTATTACAAGGGAACTTGCTTTATGCCATGTAACTTGTATTAATACACAGAAAGCAATTTAGTAGAGGCAGCTATGAGTTTGGAGAAGGTGGCAATTAAGCATAAAGAAGCAATGGGTTTTAAGAGCTATTGGTTAGAGCTGACCACACCTCTATGCAGCCAGCAATGTTCCTAGATAAAATAATTTTATCTGGCTTCACAGTCTTAAAACCTGCATTCCTTAACTGCTGATAGAAAATGTCAAAATGAATTGCCTTTGGAAAAATCCTGTGATGTGGTCAACATATGCTTACCTAGATTAGGAGAACTGTAGGATTTTTTCCCCACTGCACACAACTCTGTTTTCCCCTTACTGGTCACAGCAACTTCATGGGGGACCTTGATGTCCTAAGGAAAGGTAAGAACGGTAAGAGATAATAGAACTAGAACTCAAAGTCTCCTGGTTTCTAACCTGGTGACCTTGATCACTCAACCAAACTGGTTTTCCAGCAAGATGTAACCATGGCCTCCATGTGATACAGGATAAAACTAAAGAACAAAAATGGGCATGTATCTGTGGTTGCCAACATTGTTTTCTCCTGCACTGATCTTGAAGTTACTTTCATACATTAAGTTGGTAGGAAAAGAAAAATCTGTTGAACATATATTATTAAACTACTGAGCCTTTCAGAAGAACAATATATAAGTGTACAATGTCTGATAGGGAATCTGCCTTTAGTATAGCAGCTGCAAATCCCGGAGGCGTTTTCTGTGCTCTGCTGACTTGATCATATTCAAAAGTATCTCCCTGCTTCTTCTGTTCGCAATTGAATTTCACTTCTCTGGGTTTATTTTGCTTAGTTACTGGTGAAATTAAGATTTCCTGATTTACATGAGAAGTTACAGAACCCTGGTGATTTTTAACCTTAACAGACTTACCTTGAAATATATAGAAAATTAGAATTTTGCTTTAGAGAGCTTTGGTATGTTTAAATATATAATATTTTGATTAAATTGTCACTAAAAAAGCTGCTTTCATGGGCAAGAAAAAATAATGGAAAGGAAAGGGATTGGGGCATCTGCATTTATTAAAAACTTTCTTCTGGGCTTTCTCTAGTATTCTATATAATTTAAGAATGACTTGTGAAATGTTAGATTTTTCTGCAACAGAAAATTATTTAATACATGGAACAATTACACTTAAAGATAACTTACCAGCAGTGAATTTTGAAGCTCCATCTTTTTACTCTTGCATTTTTTAATTGGACTACCCTCTAGTTTAGATCTTTTAAAACATTTCCGAGATATCAGGTCATCTGTTGTTCCACTGGGTTCCTTTGTTAGCCAGAGTTGCAGCTCTTCCACTTTTTCCCAATCATTAAAACTGTCTTTAGTAAATGTTTCAGTAAGAGTTTCCATGGGAGTCTTAATTTTGGTCGCATGAGTAGTAGAAACAGGATAAACCATGTAATTTGGGCATGTTGTCACTACTTGGGATGGATTCAGATATGCTGCACATGGTACAGTAGGAAGTATTGAGTTGGAGGTCGGGGATAAGTTTGCAGCTTGAGAAGGCAACAAGACTGCTTTGGGTTTCCAACAAGATTCAGAAGGTGAAGTGTGCTCCAATTTCTTTTTCATCTTTTCAAATTCCCTAAAAAAATAAATTCAGTGTTAAGTCTTTAATCCAAATTTTCTCTCAGGAAATTTTCTCTGCTGGGAGATATCACCATTACAATATTAGATCTTTTTACTTGGAAAACATACACACACAAATAACTACATTATTAAGTGTATTTAAAAAGTTAATAAGACTTCAGATTTTAGAAGCTGTAATATTACTCTGTCACAATTATGTTAACTGTTGATATAAACAACTATAAATTGCTGATTTCAACAGATAGTTTATTACATTAATTAGCAACCACCATGCCTTATGTAGAAATATACCTTGATTGTTCATCTAATTGTTGCTTGCAGATTGCTGCAAGTTGAGCCATCTTGCTTGGAATAGTTGAAGGATTTGAGCCTTTATAAGAAAAGAAATGAAGCATTTAACTTTCATTTTATTTAAAATTTAGCAAGCTAAGATCCAGCTTGAACCTCCTTCTAAAATCCACACTGGTAGTGCTGACATGGTTTGGCTTATGGCTTTTTCTTATTATCCTAAATTAGTGTTCTTGACACAGCTTGTTCCATGAAGAGATAAGATGACAGAGAACTGTCATAGGTATTTCCTTATTATCAATTTATTTTATCTACCTGAGCCATTACGTTCTAATTTTTCTAAACCTCCAAGTGCAACACATACACATGAATTTTATTCTCATAAAACGAGTAATCAGAAAGACTGCTCAAAAACAAACAGACTTGGAAATAGCATCCTCTGCTTTTGAAACATATTTACACATTTTGTATCCTACAGCAGGGATCCCCAACCCCTGGGCTGCAGCCCACTACTGGGCCATAGCCTAATTGGAATGGGACGGTGTGAGCTTTGGGCCGGCACACATGAATGCAGCTTGACTTTCTTTCTTGTGCACTGGCCCGCCACTTGCTCAGCCTACTTCCCCTCTTCCCCCCAAAAAAACAAACTGGACCACCAAGCTGAAAGTTGGAAATTGCTGTTCTACACTAAGAAATTCAGAACCAATAGCACTTGTAGTTTTTTATTTTACTAGTTTTTTTCAGAATTATGTGAAACATTTTGTATCCTACATACCTAAATATTTTTTGACAGGGCTGCCTGGAGCCGAATGACTCTTTCTCTGATCATTTTCTTTACTCCTTGCCAGTTTCATCAAAGACGGATGCCGTGTGAAATTTGATTTGCTATTAGTAGGGAAGAGATTCTTAGAACACTCTTTAAAAGGTTTATCTTCCACTGGAAGTGGCATTACATCCAGTTCTGGCTTGGTATCTATGATACAATCACACACAGAACTCTAACATTAATATATTATTGTATATATACTATACTATTGTTACATTCTTTGTTTTGAGTTATCACTTTTAAATATTTCTTTTAAAACAGGTAATTAGTCCTCTAAGTATTAATATACATGTTGATATATTATGTTAATATAGTGACCCAAAGAAGAAATCAACTATCTTAACTTTGATATGACTTTTATAGGTCGGCACAAGTGAATAGAACATTAAATTTAATTGTAGCTCAAAAATAATCCAAGTCTAGTTCAAAAGTAATTATATACCTACCTTTAATATCAGAAAAAACATTTGGTCCTATCCATTTAAATGCTGGCCTGCGGCCTTTCTCTTCCATAATATGAACCTTCTTGATGAGCTCAAGGCTACTGAGAACATTGGCAATATCATACAGTCTTCGAATTTTAGCTGAAATAAGTTAAAAAGCTAATGAAAAACACAAAAAACAAAAATTCAAAATTGTTAACGCTAGAGTTTTCCTTCCGCTTCCTGCTATGTAGTACACCAGAAACATTTCAGTTTGAGGGATCTACAGAAATACTGAATGTCAGTGATTATTTGTAAACAGAGAATTAAAATTATTAAGCTCATTTAAAACAGAGAATTAAAATTATTCAATGCAGGTTTTAGAAATATAGATTCTAAACCTTCTTCCTAGGAATGGCCTTTGAAAGATCACTCTTAATTCAGATGATTTGGATGCCTTTTACAGCAATAGAGACCCATTACAGCATGCAACACTTCTGTTTTATTCAGTGAAAATTAAGAGGATTGAAAGTTTTTAAAAACCAGAAATCCAAAAGAACAGAGCAGAATAAGGAACCTACTGTAGGAAAGCTTTCCTCTTTGAAGCTAAGGGAAGCAGCTTTAATAACCGATCAAATACTTGTTCTGGTGGTTTGAACAGTTATGTCATACATGGAGTGTGGTCACTGAGATTTTGGTCAATTATCCTAGTAGTCTAACACAAAGATGAATGGTATAATATCATTTCTTCTGTTTGAAAAAAAGAGCACCATGGGCGAACAAGCTGAATAAAGGGGAGCAGGTGGTTGCAATAAAATGAACATTAGATTCTCCAGCAATTTTATTAGGGTTTCATCCAGTCGGTAAGAAAAGATTTCTTAGATATAATGGATAATTTAACCCCGAAGAGGGATGCACTTTTAAGATGAAGGCTTTCTGAGCAGTACAATTACTCTCAGTACATTGACTGTAGTCACACATCTCATAATGCGTTTTTTTTTTTAAATCTCAGCATGTTGTGAGGATGCAGCCTGTTTCATGTAAAACCATGGCTTGTCATAGCAGTCCATAATCCATATGTAGCCATCATCTATATGCAGTTTTACCACGGCAGTCCAAATGCATATGCAGCCCCTTAGCACCCTGCCACTGAAATTTGTCAACAAAATTTGGGCCAGCTTTTCAAGTGAGACCGGGAGCAGTTAACTTCCTGGTAAGCAAGGAAGTTTATTTTTATAAGCTTATAGCTCACGGCGATTTTTTTAATCACATAAACTAAATCAGTCACACAAGATAGGACTTTTTACCACTTACTTTTAAACTTGCTTTTATCCAGTGATTTACAATGGTCTTCTCCTATCAAACTTTTAGCAGCAACGTCAAGGCTCACAACTTGGGGATATGACCCAAGAAACAACATTACAAATTTTTGGCTCATCACTCTTAAAGATGTGTCTTTACGACTATTTACTGAAGCTATAGAAAGGAAAGAGACAACAATCAAATATAGAAGTAAATCCAAATCACTAACAATTGGAAGATGGCATATTTCACTAGGACCTGATTTTGGTCAATTACTGGATGTGGCTTAGTTTATCAATTACTTGTTGATATTTGCATTAATAAATTGTGTATGGGTAGTTCTCGTTTAGAGATTGCCTTGGATAGTAACCATTTGCACTTACTGCAGTGATGAAACTTTGTGTCCAAGAACTGCATTTATTACTCCCCTCACAGAGCAGAAAGATTACTTAAAGAAGCTATCTCTTTCTAGCTGCTTTTCTTTAGAGTACAGTGCATCCCTAAAAAGTGTTAACCACAATTTAACAAGTTAGCTTTGTGACCTTAGTTGATTAGAACTCTCAGGTTTTCTGGAACTGCTGCCTGATACTGACAAGACTCTAATCAATTTCTCAGTAAGGGCTTTTACTTGTTTCTTAAGCTGTTCACTAGGAACACACCAGGGAAACAGCTGGTGTTAATGCATTTCTTTTGATGTGTATTCTCTAATGTGTGCCTACTTACTCTTTTGTAATCTCTTCTCCTCCAAACCTGAACCCAATTGTGATCCCTAAACAAGAATTACTTGACTTTGTTTTCAGCAAGATTATTTATTGATTTTGTAATATTTAACTCTGATTCCACTCTTATCCAATTCTGGTATGGGGTCATACTCCACATCAGATGTGATTTTAGAAAAGGTTCAAGGAGAAGGTTAATGCCTTTTAGGATTCTTTTGCAACATTCAGTTTTTCTAAGCACTGGTGTTAACACAGCTTATAAAAACGTTCATTTAATTAATGGATTATACCCTGCATTTTAGTGAATGGAATCATAGGACATCTCCATCTATTAACACGCCTTTCCTAGAATTACCTCCTTGAAGTTCCATTCCAGGGAGTTCCACAAAGTCTGTATGATAATTTGACTTAGCATGTGTTGTCATCCATTCAATATTCTGGCCAGTATTTCCAATCTCTTGCCCATTTTTTCTTTTTTTAGTCAGTTTGGTTTGTTGCAAGTCCTTGTTTTCCTCAGCTACTTTTTTCAAAGCCTGCAGTGTTTTTTTAAGATTATGTCGGCCATGCCAGGAATATCTGTTTTTGGCAAATCGGCTCACCATATGAAGACTTTCTAATACATTCATTATGTCATAGATACGCCTGCGCTCAATATCTGGAATGACGGAAACATCACAAATTATCTTGCAGTTTCTTTTTCAATCTTATTAGTTTTCTAAAGCATACCTTTAAATACTTTAACGATCAAAATAAATGACAGGACTTCAATTATAGAAAATACAATCTTAGCAGCCGCTAGAATCTTAGCAGTGGTGAGAATGCCGTATTGCAAGCTAACTCTGTTCATGTTGCCAGTTTGATTTCTTCAATCCTGACTGCCTCAAGATTGACTCATCCTTCCTAGGTGAGGACCCAGATTGTTGGGGGCAATATGCTGACTCTGTAAACCAGGGGTCCCCAATCACCGGTCTCCGGACCGGTACCGGTCCGTGGAACAATTTCTACCAGCCCGCCAGTTTGCTGGGCGCCGCCATCTTGTTTTGATGAAAAAGTGCTTCCGGTGAGCTTTTCCGCCATCTTGTTTTGATGAAAAAGTGCTTCCGGTGAGCTTTTCTGGGTAGAAAGTGGCATTTGGGTGCTGAAAGAATCCTCACGCCTTAGCTTCATCGAGGAGGGGGGGCCGGCTTCGAACAAAACTAAGGTGCGAGGATTCTTTCAGCACGCATGGCAAGGCGAGCCGAGCGACCGTCCCGAAGCTGTCTCAAAGCCCATCGACACAGGTACAAAGGAGGAGTTGAAGGTGGCGGGGAGAAGCGGGGGACGGCTGTCTGGCCGGTCGCTCGGCTTGCCTTGCCATGCGTGCTGATGTTGGTACTGGGCCGTGGATGATTTTGTGATGCCGGTACCGGGCCGTGGCACAAAAAAGGTTGGGGGCCACTGCTGCAAACCACTTAGAGGACTGTAAAGCACTGTGAAGTGATATGTAAGTACTATTGCTAACTTGTTCAGTTAAGATAAGCGTAAGTCTTTTTCAAACTACCCACATGGGGGTAAGGCTGATAAATTGGGATATAAAAGAATATGCTTTTTAAGAATATCTCTATAATCCCTGAAGAGAGAGATCAATTTGTCAAAGGGGTAAATATCCCCCAAGGATCAATGGAATTATCCAGGGGGTTGATAGTTAGGGGTCAATGGGGGATCTGTTGGGGGTGGGGGAAGGCAATTTTTGGTCAATAAATAAGGCGAGGTCGATAATGGTCAATTCGTGCTTTGGGCTCTCTGTAGAGATCCATGCTAGCCCCCAGTCCTGAAGATGGTTAGTGGTAAGACAGTGTAACCCAGGGTTGGGTGATCAGCTACTGTAATGCAATGTATGATCTCAGGGGATGAGGGGAAAAGATTCTGCCTAGGAAACAATCAGACAAGGGAGGAAAGGGACCACAGTGGATTAATGATCAGAGAACAAAATTTGGGAAGGACCTGCCCTAATTGATCAGGCGGTTAAAAGTGATGGGAAGTTTGTGCCTTCAGACTCACAAGAATCTGTTAATGTAGCTTTACAACAAAGTAGAATTAGCTCATTTATTTGTTTCTGTTTGGTTTACCTGGGAGGATTGACCTCAAGGTGGCCTTCAGTCGTCTGTTATTATTTATTCCTATTGCTATTTATTAAAATAGTATTTATTAAATTATTTTCAAATAACAAATATTTTGGGGTTAATAATTTGAAACATCATGAAGAGGTCAATGAGCTGAATAGTTTGGGACCCCTGTTCTAGATTTTCTAGGAAGATGTTTTTAAGTGTTTAGCTTGATACTTTCTAGTTGTATGGGTTTTTTAAAATTTATTGATGATGCATACTAGCTTCCAAAACTTTTGTACCGTGGCCCTTTTTAATATGCATATCAAAATAAATTGAAAGGGGAAAAATGATATTGACCTTTCAAAACAAAATTTAAAATATCAAGGAGCAAAACATGTAGACGATTTGTGGTTTGAAAGGTCAATTGTATTTTCACAACTCTGCACTTAGCAAGTGGTAATTCTTTAGATATATTTTAGAGATTTATATTTTAATTAAAACACTATAATTAAGACACTACAGACAAAATAATTAAAACACTTAATTAAGACACTATAGACAAAATAACCTTTTTTTTAGGACTATCCCATTTGCTGCCATTTTGGAGGATATATGTTCAAAAACTGTAAACTACTCCAGAACAGTGTGGTTGGGAAGAGATTCTGCATATATGGAGAGTAGAACCTTTTATTCTTGAACTGATAAATTTTTCACATCCATATTCTCCTCTTAGTAGTCATAAGATTTGTCAAGGAAAAAAAAAGGTGATGCAATGCTCAAACTTACTTAGATCTTCTGCTACCTCATCAAGACATATTTCATTATTTTTAGAAAAGTTAGGATAATTAGGATAGCGGGCTAAGAATTTATGACATAGCAATCCAAGGCTTTTCTCTTTACGGCTTGTATGAGGCTTTTCAAATTCATCTCCTGACAAATGATCCTGCAGAGAGAAAGGAGGGGGAAAAGCTCTTCTATGACATTTTAAAATCTTCAAAATTTAACTAGCATTCCAGATTTTATGTGTAACATGTCAAATATACACACACACACACACACACGGTATTCAGCTTTGTTCGGATATTCTCCCACATCATTATAGTTGTGCTTTTAAAGTTGTAGCAACGTTTCGGCAGAATCTCATCTGCCATCATCAGGCTTCTGTAAGAGGCATACAGAAGCCTGATGATGGCAGATGAGATTCTGCCGAAACGTTGCTACAACTTTAAAAGCACAACTACAGTGATGTGGGAAAATACCCGAACAAAGCTGAGTGCCATACATGTAAGTACCCGCCAAAACTTAAGAAAACAAATATATATATACGTACACACACACACACACACACACATATTACTACAAGTATGGAAAAATGATACAAAAAAAAAGTTTTACCTCAAGGCTTTCACTTTTATTATCTGACCATTTTTTTTCCTGTTCTCGATTTCTAATCTCAGGACTAGCTGCACTAATCAGCATTTTAAGATTAGCAGTTGGGGTCCATGGATCACCAGAAGTGCTTTCATTGGACTTTGGTGGTGTTGTCAGATGATCAGAAACAGCAGGCTGGATCTCTGTCAAAAGCCAATTGGGGGTAACTGTTTGTCTTAGAGGAGTTTTGACTGGGCTTCCACGCACTCCAAAACATTTATTTTCCTAAGCCAAGAAAGAAAAAATATAATTCAGAAATGGAACAATACTGAACATTAAAATGTGACTCAGAGACTGATTGTAATATTGAAAGACATGTTTTTTGCCAAAACTCACCTTACTGTACTTTTTGGCCAAAGCTGACACTTATTTCTGCTGGATTTTACAGAACTCACTTTTATTTAAAACAGCCTAGTCTACTTTTTGTCACCCTGAGAATTTATCTGAACAAAAGATGATATAAGAATGAAAGATATTTTTGGTTATTCTCTTTTTGGTTTAACGTAATATATAAACAGCGCCAATGTGGCCAAGCTTTTCACTGTGTACCCCATCATAAAAATTCCCAGGTTGTTATACGTGAATGCAGCCCGTGTTCTATAGGGAAATGCAAAAAAGAATAGAGTACTTCTGTTGAAAATGTGTTACATTTAGAATAATAATGATAATAATGAATTAGTATACTGAAACACAGTGCAGTTATATAAACTGTTACAAGAGAATATAGTGTTTCTATATTAATCCTCTGTCTGAACAGCAAGTAACACAATGTTTGTTAGAGGTATGGGACAAAATTGTAATATCTGACATCATTCAGTTCAACTGGATAGACAATGTTGCAGTAGCCAGCTGAAGGTAATAACATCTTATCCTTTAGGGTAACTCTTTGAAATACTTAAGATTTTATATAGCTAAAATTACTGATGTCACCTTTTTCCTCACTGTTATTACAAATATTGCAAAGCCCACTGACCACAGTAGCATAGTTTCTATGTTTATTAACTATTTCAATCAAACAATATTGAGTGTCTATGGTATGGATTAGAAGATGGATATCTGAATAAATAAAATTATAAAAGTATATAACTCCATACATATATATTTTCTTAAATACAATAATTTGTGGCAATTGTTTGTATGGCAACATCAACAACTAGATATCCCAAAGGATTCAATTTCGCCACACCATGAACACATTAGTACTCTGAAAGATTCTCAGCTCTTCCTCACTCGCATATTGAGTGCATCTAACTCAAGGCCTTGTCATCCAGCACTATATTGTTAATCATTTTATTTTATTTTTTTTCTATTCAGGTACCTTACTTGGTAAAATACAGTAATGGTTTGTTTCTATTTTAAGTGATACCGTGTTTCTCCAACAATACGACATCCTCCAATAGGAAAACCCAGCATGTTTTCTAGGCATAAAATCAAATTAAGCCCCTCCCCCCAAATTTAGGCCTATTTTAAAACATACAAAATGGGGGGAAGGGTGGGGGGACTTGCCATTAGGAGAGCCCCGCGGGCAGCAATTCCTCGCCACCAGCTGCTCCTAATGGGTGATCATGGCAGAGCGCGGAGAACTCCCTACTCCTGCCAAGCACCTTTGCGGCAGACCCAAGACCTTCAGCACCCGCCGCTGTTGATTTCCCTTCTGCCCATGCCGCCGGCACGTTTGGAGCTGCCACTTCCACATTTAGAGCACCACTGCTGCTGTTTGGAGCTGCCGCTTCCACGTTTGGAGCACTGCCGCTGTTTGGAGCACTGCTGCTGTTTGGAGCTGCCACTTCCGCATTTGGAGCTGCCACTGCTTTGGAGCTGCCGCTTCCGCGTTTGGAACACTGCCGCTGTTTGGAGCACCACCGCCATTTGGACCACCGCCACCACTCCAAACACGGCGGCAGCTCCAAACGCAGAAGTGGCAGCTCCAAACATGACGGCGGTGCTCCAAATGGCAGCGGCACTCCAAACACAGAAGTGGCAGCTCCAAACATGGCGGCGGAATGGGCAGAAGGGAATGCAACAGCGGCGGGTGCCAAAGGTCTTGGGTCTGCAGCAAAGGTGTTTGGTGGGAGTAGGGAGCTCTCTGCGCTTCGCCATGATCACCCGTTAGGAGAGGCTGGTGGCAAGGCTGCCTGCGGGGCGCTCTAGATGAGGATGCAAGGGGGGAAATTAAGTCATCCCCGAAAAGACGGCCTAGCCATTTTTTCGGGGCTCAAAAAAATATAAGACCCGGCCTTATTTTATGAGAAACACGGTAGAACTTAAAGAACAGTGGTGCAATGGTTAGAGTGCAGTACTGCAGGCTACTTCTGTCAATCACCGGCTGCCAGCAGTTTCGAATCTCACCAGGCTCAAGGTTGACTCAGCCTTCCATCCTTCTGAGGTGAGTAAAATGAGGATCCAGATTGTTGGGGGCAATATAAATATACTATAAAGCAGTATGAAGCGGTATATAAGTCTAAGTGCTATTGCTATAAAATAATCCTAGGCAGCTCACAACAAAACCCATAAAACAGCAAAATCACTCCTACAAAGGATGTTTTTCTAACATCCTATCAACTTTACGTACATTGATCCACCCCAAACTTCTCCAGTGGTTGGATAGGTGGGAGCCTGGTCGCTTTCTGAAAGGCTAAAAAGAGAGAGGCTTTGCAGATCACAGGTAATACTGTTCCAAATGGCCTGGGCAGTGATGGAGAAGGCACACCTCTGAGATCCAGCCAGACAACAACGTTTAAGGGAAGGAGCCTGAAGCACACCATTTCATCCAACTAGCTTTCTGTATTGCTGTTACTTAATACAGATGCCTGCTTGTTTTAGCTGGGCAGCTGTATGACCTTCATGCCTTGAGTGACCCTGCTCGGATTATATATTCTTGACATTTACATCTGTGATTCTTTGCATAACTCTCCCAAAAACATTTCCCATGATGAGACAACGAGGCATGACTCAAGGGAGAGGAACAGTTTCTCAATGCCTACAACTAACTCCCTGCCTTGATTTCTGTGCACATATAGGGAGAGGGTAACTTCCTTTTTTTATAAGAGAAACTGACAGTACTGCAACTTTGAAGCATATTACACTTGACAGTGTGCACAATTGTTGTAAAATTGTCTTAAAATATCCATGGGCAAAAAAAAAAAGACATTAAGATGACAATATCAGATAGGGAAGGAAAAATGTTTGACCCTAGTAAGCTGTTTTCTTATCTTCTTTTATGTCAAGAGTGACATATAGCCATATTGCTCAATCAAAACACAGGATATCTAAAACGTAACAATGAATGACCCTGAGTTGCTTCAGGTATTCATACTACTGCAATTTGCAAACAACATTGTCCTACAATTTGAATATAAGAGATGACAAAAGATAATTTGAAAGGCTTAGATAAATTACCTTGTTTTCTTTATTCATATTGCCACTATTAGCTTCAGCCTTGTATACATTTGTTCAATTAAACATTAAGTTGGCTTATATGCTGGGACACCATTTTAGCATTCTGAAAGAAAGAAAAAACAAATTAGTTAACACATGTAGTTTTAAGGAAGAAATTAGAACTGAAGAGAAATCTGGATTGAAATTTACTAGAGGTATCAACATTTTAGACCAATATTGTTGTTCTTCCTGCTACTTCAGAATGCTTTAAATGTTATCAGCATAATGAAGGCTGGTATGTTTCTTGTAATTTCTTTTTATGGGTGTCCATCTTACCCAAGGTGACTCTGAACAGTATCCTGGTCTATCCTATCTTCTTACTGAAGAGTATTATTGTAAAAGAAAATTATTTTACCGTAGCCATAATGGATGGTGGATGTTAATATTTATAGGCCTTATCTATGATATTCATGGTATAGAAGATTTTCTATGCTTTGCTATAATGTTGTTTCGGCTGAAAAATATTAGTGTGAGGGCACCTAAATAAAGGCTATGATTTTCTAAAAGAAAACGCAACATTGTCAAACAGTAGTATTCGCTCACTTTGTCTTTTGAGGATAATAGTTTTTCCAAGGTTTGTGGAAAATGTGCGGGAATGGATACAAGTGGCAACCCACAGAAGTACAAAACAGGACTGTAAGGCCTGCGTAGGAGGAACTACATTTAATTCAACAGACCTTATACTCGACTTACGATCACAACAGAGTCCAGAATTTATGTTGCTTAGTGAGAAATTTGTTAAGTGAGTTTTGCCCCATTTTATGGCTTTTCTTGCCCCATTTGTTAAGTGAATCACTTGCAGTTGTCAAATTAGTAACACGATTGTTAGGTGAATCTGGTTTCCCTGTAGACTTTGCTCATCAGAAGATCACAAAATATGATCACATGACCCCATCATTAACTGCAACCATCATTAACTATGAACCAGCTGTCAAGCATCTGAATGTAAATCAAGTGACCATGGGGAAGCTACAATGGGCATAAGTACGAAAGATGGTCATAAGTCACCCTTCTCAGTGCCGTTGTAGCTTCGGACAGTCACTCAACAAACTGTTGTAAGTCAACGACTATCTGTATTGCCTTTTGAGATAAATTTTACAAGGGTCTGTTTTCGTACAAGAGAAGCTGCCTCGAGTGTGTAGTAGCCTAACAATACAATAAAGACTGCAGGGCTTACAATAACACAAACATTTCCAGCCTGTGATGCTACATCTGGCACAGGGCAGATTTCCATTTGTGTTTACGATACTCAAGGACAAGTAGTGTCGCACTGAGAGACGTTTGTGGTTGCGTTTGATTTTATAAATCCTTACACAGGCAGGATGGTCGAGACTACATTAACCAAAATCAGACAGTCCAATGCAGTAGTTTAAAACAAGTCCTTCCAATGATCTATCACTTGTATGTACACTGAGAGAGCTTATGCCCCGGAGACAAATTCCTTGTGTGTCTAATCACATTTGGCCAATAAAGAATTCTAATTTTAGTTCTAATGCGCCTCTAACAAGCACTGAGGAGTTTGGGGTTGGTTTTTTTGGCGGGGGGAGATCACTTTTTAAGTCGCCCTGTTGCTCCCTTCCCTTTACGTTGGGCTGTATTTTAATGTTTTTCCAACTTAATAAAGGTCTTTTTTTTTTTTAAAGACTCTACAAAGCCCTATTCTCGCTGCTTTCTACATTGCTCCAATAAACCCAACTCCACACTGCTTCCAAGAACGGCTTTTAATTTTATTTTGCCGAACTTGCACGTCGCCCGTCTCGCGACTGAGGTGCCAGCCCTGTCCAGCAATCCTCTGGCGGCGGTGCCGTCCCTTCCCTCCAATCCACTCACCTACCTCGGACGACGCAGCCCTCACACCCGGCCACCAAACTTCCTTCTTTTGCGCTCCCAACTTGAGAACTCTCCGCGCGCGCTCCATCGTTCGGACGGGGCTCCTCCCTATTTTTCGCACTCTCCTTTCCCATTGGCTCTTGAGAGAAGAGGGGGCGGAGTCTCCTTGCCGCTCCGTTTAAAACGTTTGGCGCCACTGGGCTTGCATTTGGCCTAACTGTACCCCCCCAGGGCTCTATGGTTTGCTCCCCTTCCGCCTTCTCCATTCGCCTCGCAACCCAGACGCGGAAGCCTTTAAAGGCATAGCGACCGCTATTCAGACCGAACGCGCGCCCTTACTTTAACCTGATTTGTTTCCCCTCCGCCCTCTCCCCGAAGCGATTTGAATTCAGCAGGCAGAAGAGGACAGTATGGCGAGGGAAAGAGAAGAAAGTTTCCAACCAATCCAGACCCCCAGAAGGTTTCCGGTCTTGGCCAATCAGCGTTCTTTCCCTTGGACGGAGTGGGGGGGGGGGGTCGGAAAGAAAATTGAGAGTTAGTTCAGTGGCGCGTAGAAATGGCGGGGCGCGATAAAAGGGAGGGCTTCCATGGGTAGGTTTGGGTGTATTTTTGCATTCCTTGGTCTTCCCGGTTGGCCAGTTGAAGTTTCAATACCTGGGACACATGAATTGACTGAATACGCGTGAAGCACTTAATCTGCTTCCTTGCAGAGCAGAGAAAGAAGCAGGTTTTCCTTAAGAGTTCTTAGCATTTCTCTCTTTGATTTCGCTTCTTTTTAAAAGGAAGAAAATGTTGGTCCAGTAACATTGTTCCTTCCCCTACAGAATTGGAAATCACAAAGATACAGAAGATGGTGAAACGGGTGAAGATTTTCCATTCTGCTTTCTTTCCATTTATTTGTTTACTGTTTTGAACAGCTTTTGAATTGGGAGAGAAGGATAGAAGTAAGATAAAGTGTGCCAAACACTGTATTCCTTAGGTGATACGCTATCAGTTGTAAAGGAAAACTAGATTTCAAATCCATAACCTTGGGCTAATCATAATCCAGATTTACCTCTGGTTTGTTAATGCTGATAAAATGAGTTAACCTTATCAATTGATGCTTAATCAAAGAATATAAATGAAGAAAGGGAAGAGAAAAAAATAAGGTGGCCTATCAATGCAAACAACTTTGTTCTTGCTTTTCATTTAAGTTTTAAAACATCTGCACCAGAGAGGCATTTGGAAAAATCATCTAGCAACACAGCATAAAGATACTAAACAAAAACAAAACCACCTAAATAAAAATGTACACCAAATTTAATATGAATTTCTACCACATGGGGGATGGCAGATTCTTCCCCTCTCTAGAAGATGTTTTGGGGGAAGGAGAGCCATCTCAGGATTTTATTTTTTATGAACTGAATTTAGATATATTTTCCAGAATGTAGATTATAGAATAACAGAATTAGAAGGGACCTTGGAGGTCTTCTAGTCCAACCACCTGCCTAGGCAGGAAACCCTACACCGCTTCAGACAAATGGTTATCCAACATTTAAAAAAAAAACTTCTAGCGTTGGAGCATTCACAACTTCTGGAGGCAAGTTGTTCCACTGATTAATTGTTCTAACTGTCAGGAAATTTCTCCTTAGAGCTAAGTTGCTCCTCTCCTTGATTAGTTTCCACCCATTGCTTCTTGTCCTGCCCTCAGTTGCTTTGGAGAATAGCTTGACTCCCTGTTTGTGGCAACCCCTGAGATATTGGAATGCTGCTATCATGTTTCCCCTAGTCCTTTTTTTCAAACTTTTTGTTTAGGGACCGTTTGAAGCTACAATAGCACTAAATAAAGTGACATATGACTGTTTGGAGCATCCCCATGGTCATGTGATGAAAATTTGGCTGCTTGGCGATTGGCTCCTTTATGACAGTTACAGTGTCCCCAATTCATGTGATCACTTTTTGCGACTTTCTAACAAGCAAAGTCGATGGGGAAGCCAGGTTCACTTTATAACTATATGACTACCAAAACCATTTAGTGATTTACTTAAATACAGCAAGAAAGGTCGCCAAATGAAGCAATAACTCACTTAACAACTGTCTCACTTAGCAGCAGAAAGCTGGGGCTCAATTGTGGGCATACTTCGAGGATTACCAGTACTTCAATTTTCTTTTACTGCCAAAAGTTAACTGCAAAGAGAAATCTTAAGAAATTGTAGTGAACTATCCGGTTCTTGAGAGGTGCAGAAGCAATTTTGCCTCCTGAGACACTGGCAACTTCCATTCTTCCTCATCTTTCTTTAAAAAAAATTAAATAAAAACATCTTTTACTTACAACAATTAGAACCAAAATTTGTATTGCTAAGCAAGGCATTTGTTAAGAGAGTTCTGCCCCAGTTTTCCATGATTGTTATGGGGATGACTGCGAGTAAATCATGTGATCATGAAGCGAATCCAACTTCCCTGTTTGACCCTGTTGGAAGTTTACTGGGAAAGTCACAAATATGATCCTTAGTTGCTCCAACCATTATAAATACATACCAGTTGCAAAGGAACTGATTTTTGATCATGTGACCATGGGGATATTGCAATGGTCGTAAATCACTTTTTTCCAATGCATTTGTAATTGAACTGTCACTAAATGAATGGTAAGCCGAGGGCCATCTGAATTCCAAAACTCTTCTATTGCTATAGGTTCTTAGCAGATATAAGTACAAGAAGAGTTGACAATGTCTCCAACATTTGAAATGCTGTATAGTTTTCAATGCAGCTTTCTGTGCTTCGTAGACATTTGGCTCATGATATAAAACTCGTTAGGGAAGGATTGACTCCGTGCTGAGCATATGCCAAAAGTGTCAAGTGCTCCTGGCACGGGTGCAAATTATGGTGAGTGTCTCATGATACAAACAAAGCCATTTGCATTCATGTGTTAGACAATGTGATGCAAGTACTAAATTGTACTAAATTGTATCTTTTGGTACTATAAAGATTGCAATTTCTTTGTGGCTTCTTTTGGGTGCCACTGGTGCCAAGTTTTAATAAGCTGAGCAGAGGAGTTCTTGTTAAGGCTGCAGTCTCTCCCAGTGACCAAATTGTGGATCTATTGCAACGTACAATAAATGGGGAGTATTGTATTTTTGTTTATTAGATGTTGGTTAGAACATTAGGCCAATTACAGGCATACTAACTCTTTTTTTTTCTGTCTTTCAAAATTGGTGGATAAGAATTGGGTTGACCTGAATTTATTTCTAAGATTTGGGGAATAAGAAAGGATAAAGCTAAAGGTTCCCCTCGCACATACGTGCTAGTTGTTTCCATCTCTAACGGGAGGTGTTCATCTCTGTTACAAAGCCAAAGAGCCAGCGCTGTCCAAAGACATGTCCGTGATCATGTGGCCAGCATGACTAAATGCCGAAGGCACATGTAACTCTTATCTTCCCACCAAAGTGGTCCCTATTTTTCTACTTGATAATACTCCTCAAATATCTGATTTCAAAGCCAGAGAATTGAGTATTATGTTTAAGGAAGAAAGGAAATTGATAGTTATTAGATTTTGAAATGCTGTTTTCCTTAGCCGTGCAAATCAATCTGCTTTGTTCCCAAGTGATTCCAATAAGATATAATCTCACTTATCTGGCATTCTTTGTTCTAACAATCACTGGGTGATTTGGTTTACAGTGATTGTTTCAGTTCAACAGATTATTAATGTGTTTAATGTACACAGCTATCACAATTGCTTCAGCATTATTAATATTTTTATCATTTTAAATTGCATTTATTTAATACATTTGTTTATTTACTGGGAAAACATCCTGTAAAACTCAAATGAGTCCAATTAAACAGTAATACATCTGTATATACTATAAAAATGATTAGTAAAAATGTATTGTGTTTGAATATAACAATGTTTAATAGATATAAATCAAAGGTATTGCTATTGAGGATATGTACGTAAACCACATGACAGATCATTCTTGAAACATGCTCTGGCATTTGATTTACTATGGTTTAGATGGTGCTAAGCTGTGAACTCTGGAATTTTTCCTTCAAAGTATGTTTTGTTTAATGCAGCTTGTTCTATAATAAATGTGAATAGAAATGCAAGCTTATACATGTTTATTTGGTAGTAAATCTCAGTATGTTCAATGGAGCCTACTATAGGACAATTTACATAATTTCATGTGATATTTCATAAATAGCATGGCAGGCCCTGAACATAAGGAAGTGAAGATTTTCATGTCTTTTTGTGGGGGAGGGGGGGGCAAGTCTCACTGAGTTGGAATTTTCTAGAAGTAAATGTTTCCCCAATAATCATATTCTCAACTTTGCTTCCAAAATTAGGAGCACAGCCTCACCTTTGTGATTTTAATTTTAAAATGCATGCATGTAAAACTATGTGTACTAAAAAAAAGGCACTATTCTTTGGAACATGTTTATTGTATTAGCTTACTCCCAGTAAAAGAAGTTACTGGAAAGTATTACACAAAACTAGTTTTTCTGGAAAAGCCTTACTAAGGTACATATTTTTTCTTACTTTAGAGACTGCTTTTTTAAGCATTGAAATGTGTTGGTTTTTTTAAATACCAAGTATGGGCCTTTATGGCTGTATTATTGAAATAATCAGTTAGGAGATAATGATTGTAAAGTCTTTTTAGTGATAAGTATCGTCTTGTGTGAAACTGAAGAATCCAGAAGTAAATGTTAAAATGAAAGCATTGATAAATGTTTTAGTATATGGAAAAGTTCTATGCAATTTATTGTGGAAAGCTAGGGTTTAGATTTTTAGAATACAGTGCATCATTGCTTATGGTAGATGGCAGCTATTTGATCATCTGGAAAACTAAGTAAGATCAGTTAGTACCTGGATAAGAAGCTGCCAGGAAATTCTAAGACTTAAAGCTAGAAGCTAGAAACAAGCAACAGCAACAATACAGGCAGTACTTGACTTACAATCACAATCACTAAATGAATTGTTTTAAGTCAAGGTCTACCTGTATTATTTCCAAGAAAATTCCATGAAGCTGTGGAAAGGGAATTTCACGAAGGCAGTAGTGTCACAAAAAACAAGAAAAGCCCAAGTGGAACATCAGGTCAGCCAGAAAACAAACTTACATAGGAAAAGGAATCAAATAAAAAGTATTAAAGAATCCCTATAGACAAAAGCCTAAGTAATTAAGAAAACTAGACAAATAGG